TGGGGTGAAGTGAGAGAACATACATGTGAATGTGGGAGGTCCTTGGGCTGCTCTCTCTGACCCTCTGGAGATCCCCTGCAGTTCTGGCAGCTCCAGCCCCTCCGCAGCTCCAGCCCCTTCACCCTCCTCACCAGCCTCATGGGTGGGAGATGTGCACTGCCCACCCCACAGCAGGGGCACTTCAGGGTGCAAACCCAGGGAAAGATAAATAGCCCAGTCTCTGTCTCCAAAGGTCACCTTTGGTCTCTTTATCCTCTGGGACATCCCTTCTCCTCCAGGCTGTCTTGCTGCCCCAGGCTGACAAAGCGCTGCTGAAGGAAGAGCTCTGAGAATGGTTGAGGTTGGAAGGAACCTTAAAGATCATCTCATTCCACTCCCTGCCCTGAGCAGGGACACCTCCCACTAGGTCAGATTGCTCCAAACCCCATCCAACCTGGCCTGGAACACTTCCAGGGATGGAGCAGCCACACCTTCTCTGGGCAACCAGTGTCTCACCACCCTCACAGGGAAGAATTCCTTCCCAATATCCCATCTATCCCTGCCCTTTGGCAGAGGGAAGCCATTCCCTGTGTCCTATCACTCTATGCTCTTGCAGATAGTCTCCAGTTTCTCTGGGGATGTGCTGGATGATGCTTTAGGAGCCTCCAAGTGAAAAATGTTGCTGGTCCTGGAATAGCAGTTCTTCTTGGCTGAGTTTTGTTGTGTTTTCAGGAGAAAAAAAGAAGGACTCTGCCTTCAGCTGCAGAATCTTTCTTTTGGAGGCCACAGGGCAGAGAGAACACACCAGTGAGACAAGCCCAGTTCCAGCTTTTCCATGTCCCTGCAAGAAGAAGGGTGATGAGTCTCAGTGAGCTCTGCAGTGCATTGACACCATGGAGATCTCACATGGAGATTATGGTCTTACATCAGCTCCATGGAGAGGGACTTTGAGGAGAAAAGAAGGGACAAGAACCTTGAGGTCTTGAGAGGGCTGGAAGTAGAGGCAGCTGTGGGGGAGTGGTGAGGACAGCCAGGGAAACCTGTTGTGCAGTGAAGGTACCAGGCTAAATGTCACTGAGGTGGGGGTGGGATGGAAACTGTCCAGAAAGAGAAGCCACCTGACCCTGGCAAGTGACAGACGAGTGGCACTTGCTGCTGTGCCAAAGGGGTGAAATGTCTCCAGCAGACAGAAGGAAGTGCAACAGTTCAGAGATCTTGCATAAGGGGGAAGGAATGAATGGGCAGAAAGGATGTGAACTCACCCAATATGGCATCCTAAGCATTTCTAGAAGTCATGAATCTGCTTCCCCCAGGAAGGACAGTGGAAGTGAAAGGCATGAGAGAGCTCTCAGTAGGTTCTCCTTTTTTTTCATCTGGTGGACTCTGCATCACCTGTAACTAAGGAACTGCTTGGGCCATACACCACTCTGCCCTGCAATGCCCAGACTGGTTAAAATGGGCATCTGGAGGGAAGCTGGGAGCACTGGGACCTGGATTTGGATGCTCCTCACTGCCTTAAAGTTGAAGCTGCTCTTGAAGTGATTTGCAAGGAGGATTTTTGGTTGTCACAAGTGGAGCTTTTCCCTGTCCTCAGTGGAAATGCATTGATTACCTGGCTCTGGCCTCCACACAGACCCTGTCCAACAAGGACAAGGGATGGCAGTACAGCACAGAGCTGTAAAATCATGGAATCACTTAGGCTGGAAAAGCTCCTCCAAGTTCATCGAGCCGTAAAATCAGGGAATCACTTAGGTTGGAAAAGCTCCTCCAAGTTCATCGAGCCCAACCATTCCCTCAGTGCTGCCAAGGGCTGCTCTGCTCAAAGGCTCTGGCTTGGATGAGGTCAGCAATCCCTTGGGACAGCACATCTGGCAGAATGACCATGGTGTTGCTGTTTTTCTGAGGAACCAGTAGATTAGGGTCACATGTTCAGGCTTTGGCTCCTGGGGCAGTTTGCTCACCCAGAGGCACTGGCAGTGTCCTGTTAGGCTTCCCTGCAGCATTGGAAATTACTTTCTCAACAAATATTGCCTTTCTTTTCTAGTAGAAAATGTTGCATCACCTCAGGGGACGTGAGTCACTGTCTGTGTCTTTCTAAGAACTTAGCAGAAATGCTCTTTTGGGTCTTCATGGCCACTTCAGCCTTCTGTTGGCCACCACAGGGAGGGAGACAGCCAGGACCATTTCTGCCATAATACTTCCATGTCGTCCTCAGCCCTGGAAATCTGGGATAACTCACTGCTTTGGGAAAACACTTTTGTATGCAGCATGCAGAACCATCTCCTTTTACAACACATTTTTAGCTCCCCAGAATAGACATGTTCCCTGATCATGGTGTGTCTGGGAAGAGCCACTCTGGATGGAGGACTGAGCCTCCCCTCCCTGTGGCAAAGCACAGAGGATTCCTTGGGGTAGGAAGGCATGCAGCTGCATCTCTGGGTGCACAAGCATTTTGCCTTCAGGAGGTCTAAGTTCTCTCTGAAAAGTAGAGATGCAAATGTTCATGTCAGACCATGAACTTTGACTGCCATCAGTCCACATCTCCATCAGCACAGCCCAGATCCTTCTTCTGTGCTATTCCAAACTCCAACCTCCAACTCTGCTGGCTTTTGTTGTGCCTCAAAACGCCTATGAACACACCAGGATGATGTAAACAACAAACAGAGAGAGAGAGATGCACATGTACACTGATAGTCCTTTCAGTAAGGATTTATTCTTTGCTCCCAGCTGGGTTTGAACAAGTTTTGCATAATAAGTATTTACTTTAGTAACCATTGCACAAACATTCAGCAAATCCCACACTCAGGTTTCAGGATGAATCTCTCTCAGTAGTTTACAAATACTGAAACTCTTGATAGCACTGCTGTTGTTTTGATCTGAATCCAGAGGAAACCTGCCCTAAGCCACACTCCTCCAGTCCCTCCTTCTCTTAATCTGTTGCCTTGGGGTTAATGTCCTCTGCTTCTTGTGGTCACCTGCCTGAGCATTCCATGAGGCTGTTTGTGGGGGAATCATAGAATCACCTGTCTTGGGAAAGACAGATCATTAAGTCCTACCCTACCATGGTTACTAGACCATGGCACTAAGTGCCACATCCAGTCTCATCCTAAAAAGCTCTAGGGATGGTGAATCTCCCCAGCAGCCCATTCCAATATCTGATCACTCTCTCCATAAAAAAATATCTTCCAACCTAAACCTCCTCTGGCAGAGCTTGAGTCTGTGTTCTCTTGTCCTGCTGCTGGTTGTCTGGGAGAAGAGACCTACAGGAATGAGCACTACAATTAGCTCTGAGCCCCATGCATGAGCTTCCTAGGGAAAATATCTTCCCTGTGAGGGTGCTGAGGCACTGGCACAGGTTGTCCAGAGAAGCTCTGGCTGCCCCATCCCTGGAAGTGTTCCAGGCCAGGTTGGATGGGGCTTGGAGCAATGTGGTCCCATGGCAGGGGGGGGGATGAGATAAACTTTAAAGTCCCTTCCAACCCAACCTATGCCATGATTCTCTGATCCCAGAGCTATTCCAAGGTCTGCACAGCTTGAGGATTTCCTTGCATCCTTCAGCTCTAGCAGCAAGATCAGCCTCAAACAGCTGCATCAACATATGGCAAATAAATCCCCTGCTCCAGGCAGGGTGATCCCAGGGTGTGGATTTGAGCTGATGGTGACACAGGCACTACATTCCCTGCTTGCTCCAGGCTACCACCCTGCATTCCTCCTCTGCAGAACCTTGTGGCTCTGAAAATGCCCAGGAAAGCTTTCCCCATGCACACACACCTCGTGCCCAGGAGGCAGCTGCAGCAGGCTGAGAGCTGGAGCCTTTTCCTCTCGCTGTGAGCTCCATTCACACCTCTGTGCCTGGGGGTGTGGAGTAGCAGCACACTGTATTCCTCACCTGCACTTTGCGGGCTCCTCTGAGCTGTCAGACGTAGGTGGGTGTGAGAGCAAGAAAGACATGAGCAATTCCAGGCTCCTGCAGCCTCCAAGAATAGTGGTGAGGAGTTAGCTGAGGTTCCCTGGACTCCTGGGGGTGGATGGAATGTGACCTGGGTGGATAAGGACATTGGCACATGGGATTGTTTGCAGTAGGTTGCAACAGTGCCTGGACTCGGTGATGCTCCCTGGATCACCCTGTGTCCTTTGACAGAAGCCCCAAGATCATGGACTGCTCCCAGTACCACAGGGGCAGGTGGGGCTTGGATCCAAGATGAACTGTGGAGGCTCAAACAACTTGAAGATGATCCCATTGCAGGTCTTCCCCTTTCTGTCTCCTGCTCCTGCTGTTCCCTGGAGTGAGAGCAGCTCTGGGCACTCAGCTCTGTGTCAGTCTCAGTCCTCAGGGTGAAGCTATCAGGCACAGCCCTCAAGGATTTGTACCCAATGGCCAAGATATCACTATCCTCAGCATGGCCATGATGAGCCCTGTTGCTAGAACTGGCCCTGGGACATGCAGTGCCTGGGCAGCCTGGCCTTTGACCAAAGCCACCACCCTCACACACAGCTCCTTGTCCCCCCAGGGTGATGTCCACCTGAACCTCCCAGCCATGGGCTCCCTCCCCTCCCAGCAGCATCTCACGGAAGGAGACTCTGGTCCTGCTCTCCATCTCGCTCCTCTCCTTCCCTGGGTGCTATTTTAGGCTGGATGCAGTCAGCACTGTGGTGGGATGACTGATGGGATGCATACCACCCTCTGGGCTGAGGGACTGGGGGCTGCAGTTCTGAAGTGACAAGCAATGTGCTCCTTCCTCCCCCAAACACACCCACGTGGCCCTGGGCCCTTCCAGCCCCACCTGAACCTCCTCTCAGTGCACATCTCCCACCCAGCTGCTGTGTCTGTTCACCTTTTCTTCCCAGAAAGGGTGATTAGACACTGGAATGTGCTGCCCAGGGAGGTGATGGAGTCACTATCCTTGAAGGTGTTAAAGGACAGATTGGACATGGCATTAGTGCCATGGTCTAGTTGCCATGGTAGTGTTAGGCTATAGGTTGGACTTGGTGATCTCAGATGTCTTTTTCAACCTGACTGATTCTGTGACTGATTCTGTGATGTTCACCCCTCCCCAGGAGCCTCCTTCCTGCCTTGCTTCCCTGTGTCACACTG